CCTTAAGGAACTTATGTTCCAGGGGTTGGGGTTGGGAAGATGAAACATATACACAAAATAAGTTAAGTACAATGTAATTTGAGGAGAAAGAAAATAGCTGAGTGGGATCTGGGTTGCCTTCACAGAGGAGGTGGCAGCTAAAATGAATCTTGAAGAATAAGGATTTTCAGAGGCAAAGATAAGGAAGGTGCATGGAGGGAGGGGGATACCCTGCACTATAATGCATGGAGGCAGAAAATGGCCTGGTGAGTTTAGAGAACAGTTTGAGTTCAGTTTAATATTTTTATTATTCAGTCATTTCAGTTGTGTCCAACTCTTCATGGACCCATTTGGGGCCATAAAGATACTGGAGTAGTTTGCCATTTCCTTCTCCAGCTCATTTAACAGATGAGGAAACTAAGACAAACGCGGTTAGGTGACTTGCCCAGGGTCACACAGCTGGTGTCTGAGGCCAGATTTGAACTCTTCCTGACTCCAGGTCTGGCACTCTATCCACTGCACCACCTAGCTGCCCCAGACTGGAACACAGAGTTGGGTTGTGGGGTTTTTTTTTTGTGATCTAAATTTATTTTTTTTTTGTTTGTTTGTTTGTTTTAGGCAATTGGGGTTAAGTGACTTGTCCAGGGTCACACAGCTAGTGTCAAGTATCTAGTCTGAGGCCGAATTTGAACTCAGGTCCTCCTGACTCCAGGGCGGTACTTTATCCACTGTGCCACCTCGCTGCCCCTGTGGTCTAAATTTGACAGACATTAATAATAAGAATACGTTTATATGCAACTAAGAACAAAAAAAAGAGGATTGTGTATGAAACCTTGAGTCTCCATTATTACAACTTGTTTTTTTAAAGTATATGATAAATTCATCATGTTAGTTCCAAAGCTGTCTCTCTTGTCTGTTTCCCTTTGAAGCTTCTTCTGTTTTCTGTGCATTTTAAAAATGCTTCGTTGATCATCTTCTCTCTCTCTCTCTCTCTCTCTCTCTCTCTCTGTCTCTCTCTGTCTCTCTCTCTCTCTTGTCTGCCTCTCTCTCTCTGGCTGTCTCTGTCTCTGTCTCTGTCTCTGTCTCTCTCACATCTCTGCCCCAGGGCTCCTCATTCTCCCCCTCAAAAAAATAAACAAACAAAAATAAACCCCTTGCCTTTCTAACAAATAAGTATATTTAGTCACTCAGTTAAGAAGTATTCATTAAATGCCTACTATGTGCCAGGCACTGTTAAGTGATGAAGATAAAAAAAAAGCAAAAGACATTTCCCTGACCTCAAGGAGCTCCCAGTCTAATGAAGGAGATAACATGCAAACAGCTGGGTATGAACAAGATATATACAAGCTATATTGGAGATAATAAAGAGAGAGAAGGGACTAGAGAATTAAGGGAGATCAGGAAAGGCTTTAGAAGATGAGATTTTAGTTGTGATTTGAAAGAAGCTGGGGATGCCAGGTGGTGGAGATAAGGAGGAAGGACATTCCAGGCATTGGGATAGGGGTTGTGGGGAAGCCGGTGAAAATGCCTGAGTCAGGAGATGAAGTGTTTCATTGAAGAAACTGCAAGAAAGTCAGTGTCACTGGATTGCAGAAGACTGGAAAGGTGGGGGGAGGGAGAAGGCTTTGAATGTCAAACAAGGGATTTCATATTTGATTCTGGATGTGATAAGAATCCACATGTTAGTAATATTCATCTTGTTCCGCACCTCTAGTCATTACTTTTTAGTCCATCAATGAGAATGGGTACTGGATCTTCATCGTCAGTCCTCTGGAGTCACCAGTAGTCATTGAGCAAAGTTCTTAAGTCATTCATGGTTGTTTCCTTTACAATGTTGAAGTCATTGTATAAATTGTTCTCCTGGTTCTGCTTAATTCACTCTGTCTCTGTTCATTCAAGTCTTCCTAGATTTCTCTTCATCTGTCCTTTTTCATTTTTAGGGAATAATAATATTCCATGACATTTATATACCATTGTTTGTTCAACTGGCTGTTCCCCTTTGGTTTTCAGATCTTTGCTACAATTTTTAAAAAATGCTATTATGAATAATTTTACATATATGTATCTTTTCCCTCTTTCTGTTATCTCTTTGGGCAGTATAGGCCTAGTAGTGGTATTTATGGGTCAAAGGGGAATATGCAGTTATTAAAGGGGAGCAATTATGAAATTGGATTGGCAAAATGTATTGGATACTGATTGTGAAGGCCTTAAATCCAAGTAAGGAATTTGCATTTTGTCCTAGAGGCATTGGGGAGCCATTGAAAGTCTTTGAGCAAAGGAAAGACAGGGTCACACTTGTGCCTTGGGAATTTATTTTGGCTGTTATATAGAGGATGAATTGGAGAGGATAGAGACTGGAGGAGGGAGACCAATTAGGAATTTATTACTGTGTAGTCCTTGCAAAAGGTAATAAGGTCCTGAATTAAGGTGGTGACTATGTGAGTGAAGAAGAGGTGTTGGACTTGAGATTTTGTGGAGTTAGAATCATTACAGTTTGGCAGTTGATCAGATATGGGGGAGTGAGGGAAAGAGAAGAGTCAGTAATTATTTTGAGCTCATGAATCTGGTGACTAGGAGAATGGTGGTGTACTCAATAGAAACAGAGAAGTTGAAAGTCTGATTGGGTCAGAGGTTGGGTAGGAGTTGGGAGGGGTACCAGATGATGGCGGTGGTAGAGACAATCATAGGATCATAGATTCAGAGCTGGAAGGAAAGTTAAAGGTCATCTAACCCAATCTTATTTTACAGATGAAGGACCTGAGACCAGAAAGGTTAAGTGACTTGCCCCTCTTCCCAAAATGAAAGAAGTCTTTTCAAGGTAGCAGATGGGGCAGATAGATGAAGCATCATTGTTGATCCTCCATTTTTTGAAGAGGACCAATGATGTCACGGGTGATGGCTTGACTTGTGAGTAAATTGGATTTAACAAAGTCATCACCTCTCTCTTCCAGAGTCATCCAAATCCAGTGGCAAGACAAGAATCAGGATGACATGGCTTCTTTAATGTTTGCCTGCTGTAGCCGCCTTGGTGGCCATTGGAACAAATTGTTCTCATCTGCCCATGCTGCTGGGGAAATGTTCGCATGCTTAGGGTAGACATCTACCCAACTCACCCATGGGTTTGGGGCCTGTTGGTCAACCTGGTTTAGCTTTTCTGCTGAGACAGTTTTATTGGGGTGTGGGCATTGCAAATGCCACAGTTTCTTGGAGCCACAAATGAGAGCTGGGTGACCAGTTGGAACCAAGGGTGGATGGGCAGTCCTGAAAAGGGCTCAGCAGCCCTCACACCAGAGGTGCTAGTCCTCCTTGAGCACCCCATAACACCCCATTAAGCTTACTACATATAAACTCAATTCTGACCACAGAATATATAAATAAAAGCAAGCATGATAGTCTTTGCCTTCAGGGAGCTTACATCCCAATAGGAAGATGACAATACAAATAAAGGGGTGCTGGCAAGTGGGGGACGGAAACATGCACTATAGCATAGTGAGGTTACAGTCGGAGAGAGAGGCAGCCAAGAATCTGGAAGTCATAGAAGCTGAGATCACCAAGGCAATGAGGAGAGACAGACGGATTGACAGACACAGAGGGAGAGAGAAAAGGAGGGGCAGGCGAGGGAAGGTGAAAGGAATGGAGGGGAGAGAGAAAGAAGGAAAGGGAGAGAGGGAGAGAAAGAGGGAACAGAGCTGAGAAGAGGCTTCGGCACACTGGAGAGCCTTGGCATGGACTCTATTTGGCTGATAGTTTCTTGCCTATAGGCTTGGTCTCCCTGAGTGTAAGGACCCTGGCTTCCTGCTTGGTGTTTATCATTATTTAGCATACACGAGCCCAGGCAGGCTGCCTGCTGGCCTCAGTGTCTTCCTCAGGCTTCCCCAAGCTATCTCCTCTCTGGTGGTTGACTGCAGGATGGGCCAGCCAGCTATGGCTGCTTGCCAGGATTATGGACAAGTGACTCATTAACAATCCATGGCCGATGAGCTAAAACAAAAACAAAATTTTTTAAAAAAATGCATGGAGGATTTTCAAGAGATCACCATCTTCACCTGCAAGCAAGGTTCAGTCCTGCATACTAATGAAGAGAAAAAACCTGAATGAGAAAAGAAAAAAGAGGGGCTTTTAGACATCCCTTTAGACAGATTCTATCTAGGGTCAAAATCTCCTTCCTTGAGAGTGTTGGTGTCTGAAGTGGGGGGGGGGGGGGGGATTGGTGCTAAACCTAAGCTGAAAGATCAGGCCTTTTCCAAGCCTTGCTAAACTAGGACCAAACCCTAATCCCATAGTTTAGGCTCCAGTGAGCATTGGGAGCAGTTTTATTTTCTACCCAGGCTGAGGGTCCTGGGGTCATGCAGGAATGTGGGGGATGGATTGTAGAATGGGAAGGGCGTTCGATTAGCTTCGTCCCTTAGCCCCAGGAAGGTCTCTGCCTCCCCCAGGCCCTAGCTGGTCCGGGGCTGACTGGTCTAGAGCACGGCCGTGATGAGGTGGGGGAGGGGGTGGGGGCGAGGTAGGCGGGACAGCTAAGCTGCAGAGGGGCGCTCGGTGATGCGCTCTGCGGCTGGTGCGGGGCTGGGCGGTGCTTGAGGCGGGGCAGACAGGGGAGGAGTCTGCAGCCCCAGCCCCTGCAGCCCTCCCCTGGCAGCCGCCGTTCCCGCCCCCCACTCTAGCTGCACATTCATCACTCCGTTCCGTGGCGGCTGGCCTGTCAGCTGGCTGGCTGGGGGAGCTGCGGGCGGGCGTCGGAGCAGCAGCAGCCTCAGCCACAACCTCGGCAGCAACGGCAGCAGCAGCCTCAGCTGCAGCAGCAGCCAGCGCGCCTCTCCCGGGCTGAGTCAAGCGCTGCCCAGCAGCGTCGCCCTCCGGGTGGTGAGAGCGGGCCGCTGCCCCTCTTCTCTGCCCGGCTGGAGGCCAGCTAGTGCACCCTGCCTGCCTGCCGGCCGCCTGCGCTCCCGCAGCTGCTCCGAGCTCGCTCTCCGTCCCACCGTCCGTGTCCCTCGGTCCCTGCTGGGCTCAGCGCGCCCACTCCTCCGGCCAGATGATGAACTTCTTGCGGCGCCGCCTTTCCGACAGCAGTTTCATCGCCAACCTGCCCAATGGCTACATGACCGACCTGCAGCGGCCCGAGCCACAGCAGCCGCCGCCGCCTCCCCCCGGCTCCGCCTCGGGCCCCGCTGGGCCGCCTGCCGCTGGCTCGCCGGCCCCCGAACGAAGGCCGCCGCCGCCCCAGGGGCAGGGGCAGCTCCAGCAGCCCGCGCCGCAGCCGGCCCCACAGCAGGCGCAGCCCGCAGCCCCGGTGCAGTCCATGAGCAGCAGCTTCTTCAGCTCCCTGTCCAACGCCGTGAAGCAGACCGCCGCCTCGGCGGGGCTGGTGGACGCCCCCTCCAGCATCCCCGCCGTCTCCAGGAAGTCCAAGTTGCTCCTGGTCATCGATGAGCCGCATACTGACTGGTAGGTGGGCCCCGACTCCCGCTTCCCGGCCACCAGGGCTGGCCATCCGTACCCCACCCCCGCCCAGCTGCCTAGCCGCTCTCCCCGGTGCTGGCCTCGGGACTGCTTGTTCTCACTTCCAGCGCCGAGGCCACTCCGGCTAATCATTCACCCTCCTCCCACTGGCCCCCATCCCCCTATCCCTAATTGGGCATGTTTCTCGCATGGGAGATTGGGTGCACTTAGCTTGTTATGGAATGAGAAGGGGCGGGAGTGGAGGGGGAAGGTACGTGTTTAAGCCTGGAAAGGTTACCAGGTAGCTGAGAGGGAATTTGACATGGGTCTAAAACTAGGAAATGTGATGAATTAGATTTGTTTGCCAAATTCCAGATCATGAGGGAGAACCCTAGAAGCATAAACTAAGCAAATGTAGAAAAACAATAGGAATTCCTACTTTACAGAGCAGGTAATAAACTTGGGGGAATGTTTTAGCTGGATATGCGACATTGCAAAAAGAGGTTCAAGAAAGATAAAACTGATCAGTAAGAGATCTCTGACAGGTTATCTTCAGGAAGGGTTGGGAAGCTCAGAGCACATCCTCAAGACACTAAGGCTGACAACAGAAAGAACAAGCAAGCCTTCCCACAACTTGTCCCTTAGTGCCTCTGTCATTGACAGAATCCTGGACTGGAGGAGACTCCAGAGCTGTCATTCCCAAGTGGGATTTCTTGTATTCATATTATCCTTTGCCATCTTCTCTATATGTGTTTTGCCTAATTATTAATATTTTTTGCTCCCCCCCCATTCTTCCTTTTGAGATAGAGATTCTGTAGGGATGACTAATGTTGGTGTTGGTGGAATGAGATATGGAGAATGCAATAATGCCTGTTACTCATTGTGGCCCTTGTGGGGAGCTGTCTGTGTGACTGTTGAGCTTATTCCTTAGTCTTATTTTTTTTTCTCTCCGCCCCCCACCATGATGGAAAAGGGCCCTGAAGGGGCCATTCTCAGGAAATGGCCATCTGGTGCAAGGTGGAGTGGTGAATGGTGCAGAGGCAAATTAAGAATAGAAAAGGGAAGGCATTTAAAGACAACTATGGTGTGTCATTCATTGGCAGCTCCATTCATTTCAACAAGTCTGTTGAGCACCTGCTATTTCTAACACTTTGGAGGGCTAAGAGAAAACATGGCTCTTGCCTTCAAAGACCTTAAATCATGTCAGGGACATGTCAAATACATGAAATAGTTAAATAAAAATATAAGGCAATGTGTAAGTACCCAAAGAGTGGTTTTGACAAGAAGTACTATAGGAATTCAGAGCAAGGAAATGTGGCTTGGCTTGGTCAGTAAAGATTTCAAGGAAGAGGTGAGTTTTGATTTTTATCTCAAAAAGAGTAGGATTTGGAGGAGGGCAAGAATGTCAGTGACTCAGAGTTTTCATTGTAGGAACCAGATCCTTCTGCTCTCTGGTTCAATCCCTCTCTCTATATGTATTTTTGTTTTGAACAGCCTTTAGGCACAAATACTCTATCCTGCATCTGTCAATTGGCATACATTTTGTGGTCTTCCTGAAGGATTGGATTTTAGTTTGTTATGTTTTCAATCTTCATGGTTTTAGAGTTATCTCAGTTAGGGTTGTTGTTCCTATAGAAAGATTGTGGGGCATTGGACTAGACAATTTGGCTCAATGCCCCTGATGTTGCCTCACCATACCCCCAGATGCTTATGCAAACCGAAGCTGCAGAGGACATCGTGTGTTGAATACCAACTGTTTGATTTTTCAAAACTTACAACACTGATGTATTAATGTACCACTTAGCACAGTGCCTGGCACATAGTAGGCACTTAATAAATGCTAATTGACTCACAGACTAATATTTATCAAGCTTGAAGATAACATCTTTCTATGGTTGGCAGAATTTCCCAGAATTCTAGGATTAGTATTCATTAGAAATGTGTTCAGGCTCATTGAACACCCTGGTCATTATTGGTAAGTGGTTATAGTGAAATATTCTTTGTGAAATTAGATGCAGATGTGATGTCTTCCAGGTGCCTACTCAGGGCAAGTGCTGGGACTTAATTAAAAAGTGCTCAAGGTGCTAAATGATGATTGTTGGGGGGTGGGGTAGAATCTGCTGCTACTTCAATTTAAGTTTCTGTCAAAGTGCTGGGCTAACAGGTGTCATTTATGCCTCTTGTGAATAATGCAGATGAGAAGCAGTCATTCAGCACCCATCCCAGCACAATTTTCATGTTCTGTTCTCAACTGTATGGCAGACAGATGGAGGCAGAAGGATTTTAACAGCTAGTTTTTGAAAGCTGTGATTTTAAGAAGGTCTTAAGTCAAATAGGATTTCAAAACAGCTAAGTTAACGGCATGGCCTTTTGAATTTAGATCCATTATATTTTATTGTTAGTTGTGGAGGAAAAAGGATCTGGGCATCTACCATTGACCAGTGTGTGTGTGTGTGTGTGTGTGTGTGTGTGTGTGTGTGTGTGTGTGTGTGTGGTGGGGGGAGGGCTGAAATTTGTGCTGGTGAATCTCTAATAATTGGTTTTCTGAAAAAAACATATTCAGGACACACCTTTAAGTTTAATTAACATATTAACATTTTCTCCATCATTTTCTGAAGTCTGAAATCAATCCAAAAAACAATAAACCAAGTCCTGATTTGTAGGGTTTGTTGATTTCTCAGGTGTGAATGTTCACCTGAAAATTTAACAGTCAGCTAGAGCCAGACAGTTCAAAATGGTTCCAGAATACTCCTGAATAGAGGGATGTGGAGATGGGGATGGTCTTGGGGTATTTTCTTAAAAATACCATTGCATCTTATGTTATTGCTTTCCCCCCCCCCCACATGGCTAATGTGGATACATGTTTTGCATGATTTTTATTAAAAATAAATAAAAGGATAATTTCATTTTAAAAAACCTTGAGACAGAGACAGCATTGCATAGTAGAAAGAATATTGGCTCTGGAGTGAGAAGAATCATGTTCAAATCCTACTTCTGACACTAGCTATGTGACCATAGATAAGTCATTTAACTCTTGGGACCTCAGTTTCTTCATATATAAAATGAGGTTGTTGGACTAGATTACCTCTGCACTCTCCTCAAACTGTACACCTGTAAATTATTATAAGCTTTCAGAATTCCTTTCAAAAACTGCCTTTGCAACTGACATGATACTAAGGACACCAAAAGTGTGCTTAAAATTATTTTAATAAACATCTGTTCTTTCAAGTTCCACATTTCTAAATTGGAGGGGGCATTTACCTCTGTGTTTTAATGATCTTTGTGTATTTGTGCATAAAGAAAAAGGACCAATTTTGGGGATAGTGGCATTGGGAGGGTAGAGTAAAGTATTGTTATAATCCAACTGGTGAATAGATGCCTGTGCTCACAGAATTCCTGCTGTCTAATTTAATTAAATTTCTTGGGCATTTAAAAAGTATTTATGATGTGCTGGGCACTGTGCTAGGCACAAGACTACAGAGACAAAAATGTGACAGGCTCTCACTTCAAATAGCTTATATTCTGCTGGGGTTGAGGAAATAGCTTTTTATATAAAATATGTAAAAGTAAATTTAATATTTTTTGTGAGAGACACCAGGGATCAGGAAAAGCCTCAAAGGTTGTGGCACTTGAGCTGAGCCTTGAAGAAAGCTAACGATTCAGAGAATGACACAATTGAGATCTTTGTTTTCTTTCCTCAGTGGCTAAGGAATCAATCTCTTCCTGAGCCTCCCAAATATTAAAATTGAGAACCAATGCAGTACAGCTCAATCTTGATTATCCACATGCTAGTTTTCAATGGCTCAACAATAAAGGAATTCATTGGGGCAACTAGGTGGTGAAGTGGATAGAGCGAAGGGTCTGGAGTCAAGAAGACCTGAGTTCAAATCCAGCCTCGAATAGGAGCTTGGACAAATCACTTAACTCCTGTTTGCCTTAGTTTCATCATTTGTAAAGTGGAGGTAATAGTATCCTTATTATGTACCTCAAAAGGCTACCATAAGGCTCAAATAAAACAATGTGTGTAAAGCACCTTGCAAACATTAAAGCATTATATAAATGTTATGTGTTATCAGTAAGCTCCTTGAGGGCTCAGATGGTATCTGATGATGATGATGAAAATAATAATAATGATAATGATGATAATAAACTGACATTTATAGAGCGCAGTGATCAGTCTGTCTGCTCCCAAAAAAGGTTTGGATTGGGCTTGAGGTGATTAAAACTATTGACCATCATGAGGTTTTGTTGTTCCCCAGTGTATTTGATTTCATCAGTGCTATCCTATTTTGATTGACGCATGGTCAAAAGTGAGTTTTAAATTTGACTCATTGATTCTATAATATCCTTATGCTCATTAAATGTCAGAACTGGAAAGGACCCTTAGAACAGGGATTGTTTCTCCAGTCCAATATTGTGCTACTACCCTCTTTTGATAAATAAGGAAAGTAAAGGTTTTTTTTTTTCCGAGAGAAAGGTAAACATTAGGAGACAAAGTGCTTTTGATCTTTTAGAACATATCACATTATTTATTTGTAAGGCTGGTCCTAAACAGCTGCTGTAGCCCAAGATGATATTCATTTTCCTTTGAGATGGAATTAATTTTGAAACTCACAGTTCCTTAGTCCTCCTTGCCATCCCTCTCTGCAGGAGAGGGAAGGGGGTTAGTCAGCTGAGAATCCCTCCCAGATCCTCTATTTCAGGAGAGGGCCCAGGGCAGCCACCTGAACATTTCCCACCTGGCTGCTTTCCTGGACTTCATCATTGCTCTTCTTCGTGCAAGATGGAATCAGCTGTGAAACTCACACTTTCTTTTTGCCCTTGGGACTTTCCATCTTTCCAGTTGGCTTCAGGACTTCAGATTAGGTGCAGATGTGATGTCTTCCAGGTGCCTACTCAGGGCAAGTGCTGGGACTTGTTTAATCATTTCTGACCAACCTGATTCCCTTACCCCACTTTTTGGCTTCTTTTTGTGCATTGTGTGCCCTCTTTAGATTATGAGATCC